TTTGATACCTCATACCTGATCCCATCGACACCTCATGATCACACAGCCTGGTGTGGTTTTTCTATGTGGACTTTGTTACTTCTCAGCTAGATGGCCTCTTGTTTATCTTCAAGCCTTTAAGGCCCCAGACGCTGTATCTTTTGATAGCTGGTCACCATCAGCTTTCTTCACCACATTGGCTTACACACCCGCTTAGTTTTCAGTGATCCGTTGGGAAGGTGAGCAACACAGTATGCCGGGTTATTAGAACAAAGTGTTCTTGCATTGAGGCCCAATGTTGGTCTGTTACCTTAATATTGAACATATATGTACATATCTATGTCCCTATCATTATATATGAATATATTTATATATGTGCATGCCTGTATTTCTACCTCTATAAATGTCCTTTGCCTCCTAGCTCTTTCCTTTACTTCCTTTTACTTTCCTCTTGTCCCACTATCATGTTTGACCTTCATTTGGCTTTCAGTAATTCCTCTTGGCTACATTGCACTTGATCAAGCCCCACCAGGCCTCCTACACCCTCCTTGCCATTAATTTTACATCACTTGTTCCCTTGTCCCTGGGCTTGTTGGCTCCCCATTTCCTTTCCGGTACCTCCCCCTTTTCCATGTCCCCCCAGAACCAACGGTCCTGTTGTTTTCTCTTCAGGATTGCATATCCTGCCGATCTTATCTAGATAGACATGACATCATCAGTATTACTAAATCTCTTTTCAAAATGAGATGTTTGTGTTTGGTTTTGTTTTTTTAACATACTCGATTGCTCCTTGTTTTTTTGGCCTAATAGGAATTCAGATCCAATATTTATTTTTGTTGTAAAGAGTTAAGTGCTCAACTCCTCCCCCCAAAGTTGGGGGTTTGAACCCACCCAAAGGCACCTCAAAAGACAGCCTGGAGACCTGCTTCTGAAAAGCCGCACGCAGCCTCGAACCTTACGAGATGTCCTACTCCACACACACACACGGGGTTGCCAGGAGGCAAAACTGATGTGGTGGCAGCTAGCAGCCACCAAGGTGTGGGGTGGGTGATAGAGGAAGACGGTCAAAGCATGATTTTCAAAATACATGGAGTTGCCTTCAAAGCTTCCATTTTGTGTAAAATAAGACAAAATATCAAAATCTATGCAGGTTCCACACAGGGAATAATCCTACAGTGACTCCCCTCTAACCCTAGTTGAGGGATAGGAATAACCTGGTGGTCAGACAGAGAGTATTGAAGAGACAACAACAGGAAATTAAAATGATAAATCTGACATGAATGGTTAAAACCTCATCATCTGATCTCCCATTTGGTACACTTTGAGCTTGATCTGGTTTTTAGTATTTACTGCGTTGCTGTTTCTTGTCTCCACTATACTTTGTCATTGTTGGGAGACTTTTTGACTCTCTGCTATGTATTTTTTCCATGTTTTTCAATATATAAAGCCCACGATGAGTTTGTGAGGCACAGAAGGTGTAGATGTATAGAGATAATAACTGATGCAAGGGTTTACAGGGGATGCAGGGATTGGGGGGAGATAGGGAGGGTGAGAGGATTTGGGGAGCAAATGAATGTGGGAGGGGGAGGGAGATCTAGAACTGATTGTGATCATACAACTCATTTTAAACATGATTTAACTATGGAAGTATGTGATATGTGAATACTCCAACAAGAAAACCACGATAAAAGAAAGTAAACGTGACCAATGGCTACCACAGGTCAGCAGTTCTCAACCTGTGGGTCACGACCCCTTTGGGGGTCGAACGACCCTTTCACAGGGGTCGCCCGATTCATAACAGTAGCAAAATTGCAGTTATGAAGTAGCGACGAATATAATTTTATGGTTGGGGCGTCACCACAACATGAGGAACTGTATGAAAGGGCCGCGGCCTTAGGGAAGTTGAGAACCGCTGCCCTAGGTGAAGGGAGAGCGTTGTTGCACAGGGGTATTGAGTTTGTCAATGGTGCTGAAATAATTTGGAAAAGGCTATCAAGAGTGGCTGTACAGCATGAAGAGTATAATCAATGACACTGAATTATACAAGTAGACGGCGTGGAATTGGAGAATGTTCTGTTGCGTATATTGTTGCCACACTTAGAAATCAAAAACTACATGAATAACAATGATTACAAGGAAGAAGAAAATGTTCTAGAATTTCATATGATGACGATTGTACAAGTCTTCTTAATGTGACTGAATTAGTGAATTGGACGATGTGTGGGTAAAGTGCTAATAAAATGGTTAAGAAAGAAAGAAAGAAAGCCGAGGATGGATGAGTCTAGAGAGACAATAAGTAGAGTACGGGTTCAGCAGGGGAGGTGTGGGGTAACAGGAACTGATCTCAAGGAGTCCGAGAAGGAAGGAAGGGTTTGAGCCGATTGTGGTGGCAGTTGTACAACACTGCTTGATATGATTACACTACGGAATGGTACGATGTCTGGATTAGGTCCTAATAAAATGATCTGATAGGGGGAAAGAAGAACTGGAAGAAAAGAGCATCAGTCTATTTTAATATTTTGGAAACAAAAGTACTACCTGTTGGCACCATTCCTTTTCCAGCACGGGTCTCTACCTAAGACAAGGAGCGCTGGCAGGGCCCCGAGCTGCTCGGTTCAAGAGACAAACACCCCCCACCCCCAGTGCTCCTGCTGTCCCTCCTGCACCACTGGTCAGAAGGGAACACGTGCTTCATCCTGCTAGTTGTTCTCGGCAATTATGCAACAGACCGACTTCCAAATAGCTTGAAAGTAGCCAAAAGGTGACACAATGGTGTAGATGGAAAACGGATGCATCCCTGATGAGGAGCACGCTGGTCCTGCCTGGGAAGATGCTGGCCCAGCACCACCCCCCTCACACCCCAGCCAGGCCCCAACCCTTGTCAGCATGGTAGGCCCCATTCGAAATTCTGAAATGTTCCAAATTAAGAAAAGCTTGTCAAGCCTTCTTGGGTGGTCCAAATGGTTCACACACTTGGCTTCAGTCCAAGGTTAGAGGCTACCCCAAGGCCCCTCAGAAGAAGGGGCTGGTGGTCATCTTCTGACAGTCAGCCCTTGCAAACCTTCTGACATACAGGGGCACCACGAGGTGAGGTTGAGTGCTACACAGCAACCGGAGGGGGTTCTGTTCCTGTTTGGTTTGGACCATGCCTTCCTGCCAAGGCCCTTCATTTCTTCAGCACTGTGGGCTCTGTAGGGTTAACACCTAACATGAACCAGAGAAAAGCTTCAATGTGAACAATTCTCCCCAGATCAGGGTTGGGATTGTGAAATGCTCACCCCGCCCAGAATGCTGTTGTAATCACCGCACCCACTGCCTTCACCCTTGCTCAAGATACGTGGGGAGGGCGGTGACGGGAAAGTCTCCGTTAGCATAAAAACAAACTGCACTTTAAGCACGATGGTTTAGAAAAGACTTGTGCGTCCTTCTTATGCTTGACCAATAGCCCCTCACGTAGGGAAAGAGGAAGTAAGCCAGTACGTCGCTATATAAGACACAGAGAACCCGTCTTTGTAAAGGGTAAAAAAACGACAACCTAACTACTTAAGCTCACATCATAGGCAAAACCTGCCACAAATACCGTCGACTCACAGCCCTCGATGGGGCACTATAAAACTGCCTCTCTCCGTTTCCAACACCGCCGCTCTTCAGGGGGTGTACAAAGCCCAGTCTTCTTTCCACAGTGCGGCAAGGTGGTTTCGAACCGGAGACCTTGCAGTTAGCAGCCCAATACACAACCACTACACCACCAGGCTCCGGTGACAAATATCTACAGAAGCTAAAACGGTTAGGGAACAGTTGCGACATCACACAGCAAATTCTCCTTCATCAGCATGGCCAGCTGCAGGAAGCTTCAGCTAAAGGGTTTGCCTCTGAACCACACGCGGCCCTGCAATCCAAGCCGAGGAAACGCCGCGTCCTAGCAGGCTGGCTCTCCATCGAGTAACTGTTAAGCATCTCCTCTAATCTCCGAAAAAGAGCAGCTGGGCCCATTCTCGACGACACACCCAGGAATATGTGCTTTCTGCAGCATTTTCAAACAGGACTTTCGTCGGTTTGAACCCTCCCTGTTTTTACAGGACCCACCACTCCTTTCCAGTGGAAAAGAAAAGAAGCAAAAGAAAGACTTGGGGAGTTCCCTCTGAATCCGGCTTGGATTCAAATCCCACTGAATTCAGTGGGAATTGCTGTGACACCAAAAATGTCCCTCTTTTGGTTCTTTGTGACCAGCAGCCATGCTTCCCGCCCTCCCTCTTTTGGCCAAGCGCTTCACTGTTATTTTTAGGTCCCCCCAAATTACCTCATCAGGGATCGGAGCTGTTAATTCTGAGAAGTAAAAAGCCACACAGCCAGCACTGAATCAGAACATGTGGGTGACAGTCTGGGGGCATCTGGACGCTGGCACAAACCTGCCAGTTCCCGTTCGGAAAAGCGGTGTGTACAACGGCGTGTCACTGCGGCAGGCAGCACCTCCCGCACTATCCGCGGGCCGTAAACATAAGTAATGACTTAATGGGATCCACATGCGGAAGACGAGTTTTTCTCAAAGTCACGTGTGTTCTCGGGTAGGCGGAAGAATGCTGGAGGTCGGCCCCCACTCACGGCCGTCAACACCCCCACCCCACCCCCGACCCCCGTCACCCGGCTAACCAGTGGTCACTCTCGATCACGGACACTGACGCCCGGACAGGACCCCGCGCGAATGCCTGGCGTGCTGTGTGCCACCCCTAATCATTTACCTGCACCCCCAGCGAGCGGCTGCACCTGGCTTGGCTCCGGAAGCAACGGCTACGAGTGTTATCTCCTTTTAAAAAGCTGGTTGCAGTGATTTGGTTTTCTTTGCTTGTGGGATTTATTTCATCCTTTGATTGCAGGTCTTTCTCAACTATGTGATAGAAAGGCTAGACTTGAATTCAAAGTCAGCAGCTTCAAAGCCCACCTTTGAGGCACATTCTAACCAAGCAATGGAAGCAATGACCGTAGAGTCCCTGGGAGCCTGGTGGAGGGCCGTTAGGCGCTGGACTGCCAACCCCAGAGGCAGCAGTTGGAACCAAGGGAAAAATACAGAACTTTCTGTTCTTGTCCAGATGTTCAGCCTCAAGTGGGTAGACATGTGCTAAGTGGGCTGAAGGGGAAGGCAAACACAATAAGAGGGAGGTTGGGGGGAAAGGATGGAGTCAAAAACACTGGCAGGTTTGCAAGAGTTAAAAGCCACAGCAGCCAATGCTGTCATAGACACAGGCCCGCAGCAGTGGGAATCTAGGAGTCGATGCTTGGATATACACGAATGCCGACTAGATGGGAGAGGGAGAGTGAGTTAGTTAGTTTATTGTGCCAACCTGGCCAATAAGCACATGTGAGGTTAATTGAAGGGTGGAGGGATAAATGGCCCTGGTCTCTTGTTTTGTGATGGTCGCACCAGGGTGCAGCTGACAGCTTCAGCTGGCAAGGCTCACTTCCTGCAAGACATCCCAAGGAGGAGCCACACGGACCTACCCCGATGCAGCGCTGGGTGCTGGAGCAGCCTGTGGAGACCCCTGCCAGTGCTGAAATGCTCACACATTCACTGATTTGGCTTTCCTCCTGCAGTTGGCATCATTGCGTCTCTTTTGTGAGACTGAGGAGGACTTTGTGGATTGGTGTAGGACATATGGGTTAATGGGTTAATGTTGGACTTGTAGGGAGCAAGTGTATACCCACACATGTAGGTTGGACAGAGGATTTTTATACATGTGCACTTTTGGATAAGGACAGCACGTGTGGTAAAGTAGAGGAGCAGTGCAAAAGACGAAGGCCCTCAACGAGATGGATTGACACTGTGGCCGCAACAATGGGCCCAAGCACGGGGACCATTGTGAGGATGGCGCAGCCAACCCCCATGTAAACACCAGTCTCCACAGCCCTGAGAGCAGAAGAGCTAGATGGTGCCCAGCTACCAACTGTGCTGAAACAGCCCTGCATAGAGGGGGAGAAAAATGTGGGACCAAACCCAAAATCCTAAAAGAGAGTAGACTAACTGGTCACCTAGAGAGTGATGGGATCCTCTAGCCTGTGACCTTTACCCTTTGTAGTAGTTGTACAATTTCATATCAACTTGATAAATAAGTATCACGATGGAATCTACCCTGTCAATCAGGTCACGGCCTGATGCTGCCTCCTTGTTGGCATGGCCTTCTCAGGAGGATGCGGGGAAGTTCCTCTCTTTCTCCCTGGAGGTGGGCCGCCCTCTCTCTCTACTTCACTGTCCTGCTGTTGAGACACTTAAAGAGCTTGAGGAGCCACGTGGAGACCCACACCAGAGTTGAGATGCTTCCACCGACGACGGATCCACAAGACTTTGCACCCACTGCCTGTGCTCTTCCGGCTTTCGACATCACTGCATGTGCTGCGTGAGTCTGAAGAGGAATCTATGGGCTAGTATCGGACATACGGACTTGATCTGGACTGGGCTGGGATGTTTTCTCAAAATACAATTGCTCTTTTATATAAAGCTCTTTCTATACATATATGCATGTCCCTGGATTTGTTTGTTTAGTCAACCCGGCCCACCACACCCTTCAAGGCTGGCACTGAAAACTCACCTCTGTGTTAGAGGAATTAACCATTTAAGACCAAAGGGCAATAATAATAATTTATAAATTATCAAGGGTTCGGGGAAGTGGGGAGCAGGGAGGGAGGGGGAAAAATGAGGAGCTGATACCAAGGGCTCAAGTAGAAAACAGGTGTTTTGAGAATGATGATGGCAACATATGTACGAATGTGCTGGACACAATTGATGTATGTATGGATTGTGAAAAGAGTTATATGAGCCCCTAAAAAATCATTTTTTTTTTAAAGGGCAGCATTTACCCACAAAGTTCAGGGAGTTAGGACGCAGGAAACACAGGAAGGATGTGGGCTAAATGGTGGTACAGGGAGGGAATTGGAATGAATGAGTTGAATCAGAATGTATATGAATTGTTAAATTTAAAACTATGATCTGCTCCATAAACCTGCATCTAATTCCAAATATAAAGTTAAAGGTGGGAAAAAAGAAGAGAGCAAAAGAGAGAAATAACAGCTTCAAAACCCCTACTCTACCTTATAGGGTCAAAGTGAGTCCCTCCGGATCAAGTCATGGCAGTGAGTTTGGTTTGGTTTGGGGTGGTGAATGCCCTAGGCTGCTAACTGAAATGTTAGAGGTTCAAATCCACCCAAAGGTGCATTGGTAGAAAAGGCCTAAATTAGCAACTGGAAAACTCTACAGCACACAGTTCTACTCGGACACAGAAGGGGTCGACTAGTGCTTTACACTAATGTGAGATGCTGTCTTTAAAAGCCCCCTCAACCCTATACGAGGAAATGTGCCCTAAAGGGCACATCAGGTCGGTGGTGGGGCTCAGGTCAGAAACCAAGTTTTCCCTCCCTTCTCCCAGAACTCCTGGACACAGCATTTTTTAAACCTGAGGTGCTGCAGGCAGTCTCCCCTACACTCCCAGTGGGAAGCCCAACTCTGTACCAGCCATCCCCACCTGCCATTCCTTCTTGACGACCACCACATTTCCATTCAAGGACCAAGTGCCAATATGGTTGGTGCAGATCAACGAGAAAAGACAAACTAATAGTGTGGGGGGAGGGGCTGGGGGGGGACATATTTTTTATAAGAAGGCAAACTTTTCTTAAGTTTCTAACTTCGATTTGAATCCTAGTAACTTTGCTCTAAAATTCTTTAAAAGGTAGAGATTGTCGCACGTAAGAGTAAGGTTGTTTTTCCCAAATCCCATTTTTGCCCCATCTTGGGATGGGGACAAAATTAATCAGGGGATGCGGAAAGATTCTAGAATGCTGTCGGACTCAAACTCAGCACCTTATCTGTGGAAAACCAAAGGGGAGAGGTTTGAAAGGAAGTCTGAGGAGTCTAAGAAAGCCGTATCTGATGTCGCCTGAAAGGGCCAATAAGGACGGAAGGCCCCCCAAAAGGAAACGCAGCCCAAGCAGTGTCTGGGTGCCTGTGATTAAAGGCCTCCCTTGCACTAGTCTTCTTCCTCAATTAGCACAAGTTACCTGCAGGGTTGGACTCTCGTGGTGGGGTTGGTGCGTGCGTGCGTGCGTGCGTGCGTGCGTGCGCGCGCGCGCGCGTGTGTGTGTGCGTGCGCGCGCACGCGCGCATAAGTGTGTGTAAACACACACAGCTGCTATTTGAAAAGTTGGAGTTTCAAGCCTGGAAACCCAGCCACTGAAAACCCTAAGGGGCACCATTACACTTACACACACACACACACACACACACACACACACACACACACACACAGAGCAACTGCTTATAAGGCTCTTAACAACCCACTAAATACAAAATGTTTGCTTCCACCCCCGAGCTGCATATGCAGAAAGCATCTTTTGAATTGCATAGGTTTCTGTTCTTGGTGATGTAGAAGACATAGAAAGGATCTAGAACATACAAACTCTATTTGTTGCCCCAGCCTTAAATAGTCTGTGATTTCTAAAAACAAACAAATAAATAAATAAATGCTGTTTCCCCTGGTTGAGACCACTCCCTGACCCACAAGTTTTCTTGCAACAGAATGACGGGGCTTTGGGGAGGAAGAGGTGCCCCGGCCCTCAGTATCTCGTCTAACGCGGGTCATTCCTCACGTGGGTTGGCCCAGCAGCACAGGTGCCGGCAGTTGTCCCCACCCAGCTCCCTCTTGAGCGGGTGAGATTTTTTTTTTTTAAGCTCTGATAGGAAAACTTCCACTGAGATACAATACCCATGGAGAATGTGATGGCGGCTGGGTCGGGGAAGATACTGGTAAACCCAAGTCTGTCTGGGGTGCCAAAGAATGAGAAAGCCCTGGACCAAGAGAGGCTTAGCTCTGAGTTGGACATCTCCTTGCTTAGCTAACATCTGGGGTCCCCCTCACAAGCTGCTCGAAAGCCCCACACACCAGCAGAGAAAACTAGGCCAATAGGAAGTTGCGTAGGAGGCTGTGTTACATCTGGGGTTACAGCCTAGAAGCACAAACAGCGCATAAAAGAAAACAATGCCTTATCCCGGAACCACAAGGCTAGTTTGGGGTAAAGTGGATGCTAAGAAACCTCATCATCAATTGTCTGTCAGTTCGTCGCCCCGTGGTGGCTTTTGTGTTGCTGTGTTGCTGGACAAACTGACAGACAGGCGGCGAGGTGTCCTTTTGTGGCTGAAGCATTCTTGAGCCCCTCACAACAAGTGCGGCTGGTTGAGATCCTCCTGTGCCCTGATGAGATCCTCCCTGCCCCCACACGCAGGCATGGACCTCCTGACCTTTTGGGTAACAGCAAGGACACTTTTGTGTAACAGTTTTTGGGGGCTGGTTTTTTTGGGGGGGGGGTGTCTATTAGGTAACAATTTATAGATGCAGAAGC